TCTGGGGGTGACACAAGGGTCCCTGCACTGAGAAAGTGTGGTACAGCATGGCAAAGCAGGTGGCTGAGAGTCATCAGGCTCTGGCTGGAGACTGTATCTCAGACACTCCTCTTGGGGCACTGGAGGCCACTCTCAGGACCACATCCATAGGGGGTGGTTCAGAGAAGGTACACAGGGGTCTGAAGCAACACTGAACTGCCCTCTCCTGGGCCTGACAGACTGGGGCAGGGCCAGGGTTCCAGCGGTCTCAGGGTTGGCCTTCTGTATAGTCCTGTGCAAGGACCCTGCATCCTCAGACCCAGGCCAGGATACCCAAGCATCTTTGTGGCCCCTCAGGACTGTGATACCCTTATCTGTGAGAACCTGGAGTAAGTGCTGCCCACACAAGCAGCCAGGGACATCCTCAGGCTGAGGACTGAAAATGTTAACTGTGTCCTGGCTGGGAAAAAAACACCCATTGGAGCACTGGGCTGTTCTGCTGCCAGTGCCTGGGAGCCACAAGTCCCTGAATCATGGGAGGTGGCTTCCCTGCTGTCCCTCACACAGGCCACTTTCCCAACCCTGGTCAGTGGGAGGTTAGCGGCGGGGTTTGCATTATTTTGCCAGTTTTAACCATCAGCCTAGAAAGCATAGGGCTCAGGCCCTCCCCCATCAAGTATTCATCAGGTGGCAACTCCGAACGGAACAGAGAGGCTAGGCTGCCTTCCATGTAAGCCAGGCCCTGGGGAAGGGAACTAAAAATAGACGGGAGGTTGAAGATGAGCTGTTGGGGGGGGTAAGGATGCAGGCTGGAGCAGAAGGGACAGGAGTACATGCATGTAGCAGTGAAACAAGTGTGAACTGAGGCCCAGGACTTGTGCTTGAGTTGCCAGTACCCAAATGTGTACCCTGGAGGCCCAGCTAGAGTGGAGAGGCCCTTTTTGGGGAGTCTGCCCTGACCTCTTGAGACTATTTTTACTAACATCAGTGGATCCTAGGACACCTCAAGAATCAAAGGTCATCTTTAATGAAAAGTAACAGCCTGGAGCCACATGACATCGGTTGCATGCAGGCCACAAACTTGGGAACAAAGTTACCATTCTCTTCATTCAGGCAGGTGTCCTTCCCTACCCTCTGCAGCCCATGTATACCCTTGCGCCTCCTTGGCTTTCCTCTACACTCTGACCAGGATGCAGGTTTCTACACAGGGGAGCCCCAAGGCCACTCTGATGACTCCATGAAGATCACAGGCCCAGCCCCAAAGGCCTTGACCACAGAATACTCTCCATGTGAGACTGGTCTCCTTGCAGTTGGACTCCACAGGGGTGGGAGGCATGGGGTACAAGGCCCTCTTCTCAGAGCCCCACCTAGCCACAGTGCTGGGAACCCAAGAGATGGAGCTGTGGGATGCACTTGACCATAGTGGCTAAGGAAGGCGGGCCCACTGCTCAATGGAAAGGCATCGACCATGTCCACAGTGCGCACCAGCCTCCTACTGGGTGCCCCTTACAACCCCAGAAGGCTGACATCAAGGGCCTTGCTTGACACCTGCCTGATTTGCACCAAAACCTTGTCAAGATGCAGACTGTTCCAGGATATGGGCGACCCCTGGTCTTATAGCTGTTTGGCTGAGTCCTGCAGACCTCCACCCACATTGACTGCATACAAGAAGGGCCCTGTATGTTCTAAAGTTAGACCCTAGTCCCAGCCCTGCCCTGTACCAGCCAGCTGCCCCTACCCAGCTCCTGCCTTCTGTCTTGGCTGTCCCTTCCCCTGCACAGTCCCTCGTTGAGGACTTCCTTATGAAGGAGCATTGAACAGCAGCAGGTAATTATGGACCTGGTCAGGTCCTAACCCATTCTGCCTACCATATACTAAGCTTTAAGGCCCTCATTAGAACCCAGGTGGCAGGATGCCCCCACACCATCTGGGTGCCCCAGCAGCACACACAGCACTTGTAGCAGCTGTGGGGGCAGGGCCCAAAAGAGGTGTGAGGTCTTCAGGGATCTGCAGCCACGGTTAAACCTGTGCAGTTGGGCACAGCCTGTATGTGTGTGGTGGGGTGGAGGAGTGAGTCAGTCATGGCTGGAGAGGTGTGCAGAGCCTGTGAATCCTTCAAGATTTTTCTGTGCCTTACACCCCTAGGGCAGCACAGATACAAAGTACAGACTTAATGAGCTGGTGACAAGGCTGTATCTAGAGTCCTCAGAGCACCTGTCTAGTGAGGAAATGCTGAGAAATGCTGGAGCTGACTCTGTTCGACCTGAGGGAAGGGGATCCAGGCAGAGGGACAGTAAGTACAAAGGTACTAGGTTAGGAATGAGCCTGGGTGTTTGAGAAACATAACAGCTTGTCAAGGACAGCAGGAACATAGAAGGAAGCAGCTGAGCAAAGCAGGGTCCAGAGGGGCTGGTGCAATGTCTCAAGTGGTAAAGTGCCTGCCTTGAGTTCAAACCCCAGTGCTGCCAAGGAAAAAGAAAACAACCCAGCAGGGTCCAGTGGCGAGGAGGGGCAAGGTGGGGGCACAAAGGCTGTTTAGGAGGGAACATGCAGCGTAGGTATAGGTGGGCAGAGCAGGGAGAAGCCAACCAGGTTCCAGACTTAACATACAAGAAGCACAACAGAAGTTGGGTTTTCTTTGGTGGGGGAAGATCATGAGTTCAGTTAGGGACACACTGTTTGAGACACCTGCAGAGAGGAGTAGGACTGGCCAAGTCAAGTCAGGAGTTAACAGCAGGCAAAAATCAAGTCCAAGGCATAGGATGTAGACCTCACCACCCAAGGAGAAGCAGAGTAAGGACCAGGACCTGGTGAAGCTTTTTCTTAGGGGTTGAGGGTGGTCTGGGAGGCCAGAGTGTCCCTGTGGTCACCACAGAGTCCCATACACAGGGGCACAGGCTTCACCAAGGACCTGGTCAGAGGTACCCAAAGTGAGGGGAAGGCAGTAAGAAAAAGACAACACCTGGGATCTGGTCACGCTGCCAGGGCCCAGGAGAGTGCGTGGAGTCCAGCTGGAGGGAAGAAAGGTTCCAGCGGTTAGCCTGAAAGAGGCGGACAGAACAGCAGCCAGAACACAGGGGGTTAGAACCAGGGGCTGCAAAGTGCCATGGAAGCACCAGATTCCAGTGTGCACAAGAGATCAGGGGTCAGGAGAGACTGGGAGTCTACAAGGTAGGGCAAAAAGAGCAGGCTGGGCACCAAGGGCTGGGTTGTTGGTGGAGAAGCAGGAGTGTGTTCTAGAAGCTGAAGTCAGAGGAGGCTGAGGGCTGATGGGTGGACAGTGGGACAGACATGCTCCTTCCTGTTTCTGTGCTATCTGCTTGGTGCATCACTTTTATCAATGGCATTAGCAGAAGAGCAGCTCTGGCCACGTGGGCTCTAGGGAGGCCCTTTGGGCCCCCACCAGGAACTGCTGTGGAGGGACTCTGCCTTGAGAGGAGCATTCTTTTCCTGGTTGGAATCAGGGCCTTGTTTATGGTAGGCAAGTGCCGACCACTGAGCTACAGCCCCTATCCAAGAGGCAGGTTTATAACCAAAGGGAGACAAGAGCAGGTGGCAGAGCCTATGATAGGGTGGCCACACAGGAAGGCAGGTGTGGAACACAGCATATGGAGGGACAAGTGGGCTGAGAGATCTTCCCACCCTGACAGGAGAGCTACCTTGTAAGGCCCAAGTATGGAACATCTGTCCCCATTGACAAGAGCAGGTGGCAGAGCTCCTATGATAGGGTGGCCACACAGGAAGGCAGGTCTGTGGAACACAGCATATGGAGGGACAAGTGGGCTGAGAGATCTTCCCACCCTGACAGGAGAGCTACCTTGTAAGGCCCAAGTATGGAACATCTGTCCCCATTAGAATGATCACAAGGTGGGCCTGGAGTCACTGAGGGGAGGTCACAGGCACTTGGACAATGCTGTTGACACCCACCACCCACGAAGTCTCTGGCTTGCCTCTTGCTTTCTTTCCTTTCGGTCTGGCTGAATCCTCATCCTTCAAATCCAGTTTCATCATCAACAATCCTGAACCCCTCACCCCACCTCAGCACCTGGCAGAGGCCACACTGTCCCAGAAAGGACATATAACTATCATGACTCACCAGAGCCCCCCAGGACAGGTCTCAACCCCAGCAAAGAGAGCAGGAAAAACTGAGCAGGCAAGGGGTACAGGACAGGGCAATGAGGGTAGCCCAGGCCCTGTGACCAGGACTCATTACCACTGTGGCCTTGCTGGACCTCGGTCTCAACCAGGAAACCGGTCACCCAAGATTTCTTTGGTAACATGTTGTGTGCATCCTAGCCATTGGGAGGGATCCAGTGTGTGCTGTGGCAGGGGTCTTGTGTCACCTGGGGCTCTGCCCTGCTCAGGTGCTCAGCTCCCTATTCCCTCACCTTGCAGGGGAGGGGCAGGGGGCAAGAAGCACTAACTGCCACCCAGGGTTCAGGTTTCCTCCTGGTCCCAGAAAAGCTGCCTGTCCTCCTAGTGGACAGGCACAAAGTCTGGTTCACAGAGGAATCAGGGCTGGCCTAACGGATACAGGGCTCTGGTTGCTGGCTAGGACAGACCCTTCATGGGCTATGCAGCCTCTCTGGGCTGTGCTGATCCTGAGTCCTTGTGACCTACCAGGGCCTGTGCCTGGAGCGAGACCAACTGGGGTCCCTGGGCAGTACCCCCTGTGAGGGAGTGTGTGGGCAGGCACTAGCCATATCCACTTTATACAGGCACACCGAGGGCAGGGCCAAGCCTGGCGGCCCAGCATAGAGAAAGCCAGAAAGCCTCAGCCCCATGCCACCTGCACCCCCAGGCATAAGCAATGGTGAGGAGCTTACATGGGTCTGATCTGACCTACCTGCCATGTTCCTGTTTACAGCCCAAGGGGTAGAGCCCAAAGGGCTCCCTGCAGTTTACAAGGCACTCCTTCATCCAATCTGCCCACAGCCTGAGGCTGCAGATTTGGGGAGTGGCCAGGCCTGGGCCACACTCTGACCCTGGGATAGGTCACTATCCCGAGGATAAGCACTCACCACAAGCTGCGGCACAGGCATTGGCTTGCCCTCCTGGCTCAGGGACACATAGGTGAAGAAGGCACTGGCAGCCCGGTAACGCTTCTGCGAGTTGTCAACCACAGGGTCAGCATCCACCAGGACTTCGATCTCCATGGATTTATTGCTTGTGAAGGTCATGCGTCCGGAGATGGTGATGACGCAGCCTATGGCAAAAGGGAGCAGGCATTAGGGGAGCGGACACTAGTGGGGCCTCTACCCACAGGGATGGCAGTGGCGGGATGGGGCTGGGCTGGGCAAAGCGCACGTTACTGAGGGCAGTTAGAAGACACTTGGTTAGGTGACACAGGTGGCAATGTCCTGAGGATGTTAAAATGACCAATTATTAGAACGCACCATTAGCAGCCCTCATGTTTTATCTGTGCTGTGAGCAGCAGTTAGTGCTGTCCTCAGGGATCCTGGTGACCATGGGATCTAGCCCCGCCCTCGTAGGGGATCTGGGTGTGAGCTGACTTGGTCGTTCATCAGGACAAGGTCACATCTGCAACCTACCCTGTCCACTTTGTGGACTTGCCGGTGCCCACCATGCCTCACAGTTGCCCCACCATGGAAGAACGTTCTGGAGACTTGTGTTCTTCACAGTGGACCAACACAGCCACACTGTCAAAATGCCCATGGGCCTAGGTCTCTCTGCAGCCACCTTCTGTGCTTTGGCCCATGCAGCCTCTTTGGTGGGGTTGCTGTCACTCCTCAGTCTTTCTAACGCTGCTGGTCTTGTCCATGAACCAAACCTTTATCCTCTGAGCTGCTGGACATCATGCCAGGCCCCTTCCCAGGCTCACCACTTCCCCACACCAGCATAGTGTTATATGACTATGACAAGGCCCAAAGTCACCATTCCCCATTCCTAGAACATCGTCCCTGGGGTCTCTCTCTTTGTTTCTCAAACCTACTAAGACAATCTTGTGGTACTTCCCATGCCTCTGGTCACACACCGCAGCACCCTGCCCATTGTTTTTGGACTTGGAACTTCTCTTCTGCTATGCTTTCCACATGGAGCACTGCACAGCTTTACCTTGGATCTCCATGTTCTGGGTATAACCTCTTAATCTCATGGGGCTCCGCTTTCCTTCCATTAATGGACATGAAAAGACTGTCTTGACTGACTGCAAGAAAAAAGGAGGCACACCTACTGTTGGGCCTGCTGCCTGGCCCAGTCAGGGGAGGCATGAGCTTGTGGAGGCTTCCGGGACAAGGGCTGGTATCTGGCTGCTGCCACTTGCCACTGACATGTGGCCAGAATGCCTCCCACCCCAGCAAAGTCTCCTAGGCAAGGTTGAAGGACGTCTCTGCCCACCTTAGTCCCATGGACCTGCTTCACTGGAACCAGTGCCAGCTGCAGGGCCCTTTGAACACCTCTCCCCTCAAGTGTCCTTGCTATGAGACAGGCCCCACGAGACATACTGAGCGAGAGAGAGAAAGAGAGAATGGAGGCAGAGAGAGTCAATGGAGGCAGTGTGGGCTATTCTATGTTAGAAAGTGTCAGAGTTCCATGCCACATACAACTTTGTACTCACAGGGGATGCTTCACACCAGACATTGCCATTTCTGGGAGGGAAGGAAGGAGCCGCATGGTCAGCAACAGGTGGCATGGTGTGGGTTGTAGTGTGCATAGTCGTGTACACGCATCTGATGACAGTCACCAAACACATGCCCCAGGACACACATCCTGGTCTAATGCCCAGCTTGGGGGCTGGAAATTACCTGGTCAGCCCCAAGAGTCTTGTGGACTCTCTGCCTCCTTCCTCTATTGCCCATCCAACATCTCTTTCACTGATGACTTGCACACATGAAAGTCAAGAGTCACATCCAAGGCAAGCAGCAGGGACACCTGTTTCCATGAGAGGAAACCAGCAAACTTCCTCAAAGGCCAAAGGCTCATATGAGGGGCCACCATATGGGGGCCACCTATCACATGCTGCTGGGAGGGCAAATCCCAGGGCCTTTGAGCACTGGCCATGAATTGTGAATGACAGAAAAGGTGCCCTTCTGTTGTCACCCATGAAAGCTCACCCACCTGCCCTGGCAAAATTCTGGCTCTCACAACTTCATTTCTGCACCAGAAAATTGAAGAAACTTCTAACTTCAATTAATAACAAGATCAAAAACTCAAGTGGGGTGACAGTGTTCTGGACAGACAAAAAGCAGAAAGTGGGGGCCAAAGCGCCACCAATGGCCCCCACCACCACGACCACTTCCTAACAGTGGGGAAGATTTCAGTCAATCCAACCCTGAGTCTGCTCACCTTCCAGAGGGTGATGGTGCCATAGTACACAAGCCTGAGGTCTAACTCTGGCAGATACACACAAGAAACCACTTTGGAGGTGGACCCTGGCCTGGTCATTGGTGGGCTGGGACTGAACTTGAAACCTCAGTCAAAAGACAAATCCCGAGTCCTGGGATTTGACCAGGGAGGACCCAAAGTCTCCGAGGCCTGCTTGAGTCCCAGGTCTGCCTGGGTGTGTGGAGGCTGCCTTAACCTTTAGAGATGCTCCCACCCTGACCCTTACTTCTACCATTCATGACAGACACCCCCCCATCCCCTCACCCAACTGTGATCTGGCTAATCCTCTGCACCTCAGCCAAGGGTCTCTTTTCAAGGACATTCACCTAGGACAGACCAGGTCTCTCCAGTGCATTCCTTCTGTAACAGTCTTCCTGTCCTGACTGTGGTGCCTGTACGTTGGTGAGCTTGTCCACCTCACTGATGTCCATACATCCCTCCCAGCCTGGAAGTACCACAGGGCAGAGCAGGGTAGGGGTCCCACTGATGTGCTGAACATGTGGCCCCGTAAGAGTTGGGAGGGTCATTCATGAAGACCAACCCACAGGGATGTAGCACTCTGCTGGCCCTCAAATCCCAGGGAGCCCCCCTATGCTCTCTCAGCACCCTGGAGTGGATGCTGAACACACCTGGACTAGTGACTCAGCACAGGCAGTAGCTTCTTCAAAGTCCCGAAGGCTGACCTTCCTTCCAGGTTCAAGTCAAATGCCATCAATGAGTGAGCATTATGGAGCTTCCCCGATCTCTGGAGAGATGGAGGGAAGGAGGCCCAGCACAGGGCCGTTCTTTATTCCCCACCATGCCCGAAGCGTCCAGAACAACCAGGAGCATGGACATGAATGAATGAGGAGTGGGGAAGGTAGGTTTGGAGTATCCCACACGGCTGGGGGCAGGTGTGGACACACTTGTCTGCAAACAGAAATCAACTCAAGCCCCAACACTGTGGGAGGAGGGCACTTTAAGGAAAAAGTTCTGGCAACATCTGTGGGGGCAGCCTGAAGCAGGAAGCCAGGTCAGCTCCAGCAATAGCAGCAGTGTGAGGAGAACTGTGTCCACAAGCCCCTGGGACTGCTTGACTCTGCAAGTCCCTCTGCTGCTGATCGATGCTATCATACATCCTTCCAGGGCCATGGGGCAGTTGCTTTGCAAAGAGACATGAGATCCTCCAGGGGTGTGGCGGAGGAGGGGAAGGCCAAGTGGACAGCTCAGCTCTCAGGCCAACCATGCATCAGGAGGTGCACCTTGGGCCTGAGCTGGTGACAACCAAGAACACTAGGTGCACCAGGAGGGCAGTGGGGTCAAGATCTCCTGCATGCCCTGCTGCCTGGTAAGTACTGTCCCCTTAGCTGCCTTCATGGCTTCCCAAGCTCTTCCTGCTCTGCCCTGGACCAGAGAACCCTAATCTCATAGCCTGAAAGATACAGGAATAGTGGCAGTCACCATCCCACAATACAGTCCAGGTAGGCTCCCTCCCTCTGCCATTCTGCATGGCTGGATCATGTGTTGTCACTCCTCTCGCTAGATCAGAGCCTCCACGTCCAACCTACCCGTCAAATCATGAACAGGTGCCACAGGCCCTTTCATCAAATGTGGAAGCTGAGGGAGGCCGGACACGCATCAAGGGCATTAAAGGCAGCTGTGTCCACGTAGGTCACTGCCACAGGCAAGTAAATACCGCCCTGCAACAGGCCACTTATCAGGCCTCCTTTCTAGAGGCCCAGGTAGGAGGGCAGACAGGGTAGTCCTGTGTCCACTCTGCACCTCCAGTGCTGTCCATCTGAATCTGTTGTGACTTTGGTCATGAAGGGGCCTGTTGTGGTTTGAATATGAAATGTCTTCCACAGGCTCAGGCATTGGAGCTTAGCGCCAGCCAGCTAATGAGCTCTTGGGAAGTGATTGAGTGATAACTTAATGAATTCTTTTTTTTTCTTTTATTTTGTGGGACTGGGGTTTGAGCTCAGGGCTTTGCACTTGCAAAACAGGTGCTCTGCCTCTTGAATCATACCTTCAGTCCATTTGGTGCTGGCTGTTTTGGAGGTGGGATCTCACAGATTATAGGCGTGAGTCACTGGCACCTGACTTGGACTAAACCCTTGATGAATCTGTATTGTTGTCATTATTAGGACATGGTGAAATGTGGGAGGTGGGGTGTGGTTGGAGGAAGTTGTTCATGTCAGGCATTTTGCCACAGTGACAAGACAGTAACTATTACAGAAAACTGGTACCAGGCATGTGGTACCAGTCACTGCTGTGACTGAATCTGATAGTGAGGTTCTTACACTTTTGGAAGAGTTTGGAGATGGAGGCTAGAGAAGCCCTAGAATACTGTAAGTTCAGAATAATGGGAAATTCTGGTGGGAGCTGAAAAAACCAGAATGCTAAAAGATGTGGATAATAAAGACTGTGCTCGTGAGGTTTCAGATGGAAACATGAGGTTTCTATTGGGAATTGGACTAGAGGCCATTCATGTTCTGTTCTGGCAAAGAACTTGTCTACACTTTGTCTGTGTCTGAGACTTTGTGGGAGGCTGTGTTTAAAGACAGACTAATAATCTGGCAGAGGAAATTTCAGGGCAGCACAGCATTCAGGCTGCAACATGGTTATTGCTAGTGACTTCAACCGGGTTTACAGTGAGAATCAGGAGCAAAACGCAGACAAAGCCAGGCCTTGGTGGAGTGAGGCAGCCAAAAGTGCCAGCACCCCATGGGTAACAGGCAGACACTCAGTCGTGACAGTCAGCCTAGAACAGAGGTGCCACCCTGGAAGCATTCTGCCATGCTACCATCCAAGGACATCCAAAGATGAATACTCACTTAAAGGAGCAGGTAGGAAGGATCAAGGGAAAGACAGCTGCATGGAGAA